ATAGGAACACTTTTACACTGTTGGTGGGATTGTAAACTAGTTCAACCATTATGGAAAACAGAATGGCGATTCCTCAAAGATCTAGAACTAGATGTACCATATGACCCAGCCATCCCATTACTGGGTATATACCCAAAGGATTATAAATCCCTTTTTTTTGTAATAGATGAAATGCAAGGTTATGTTCTAAGAGTCCTAAAAATGTTTTCAATTTAATTATTAAACTTAACCACATCAGTGTTCAGGTCTTTCCTTACTAAAGTACAAATTGGTATATAAGAACTACCCTTCCCCAAAAAACTAACTTGATCACAAGAAATACCACAAAAAAACTTCAAAAGTGTAAAGAAAAGGAATTCCATTGCTAAAATTTCCTTTCACTTACAATAAAATGAAACTTCGCATTACCCGATCAACTGGGAACTTTGCACATCCTGCCTGTTTTCATACTCTAGGAAATGGGAAAGTGTCGTTTTTGTTATTTTTACAAATTTTAATTCATTTAAACTGTAGAATTAAACTGTAGGAAGTTAGTAAGTTCCATTGCTAAATCTCTATGTCTAAAAATTTGAAACCCCCACTAAGAAGTTTGACTTATGAAACAGCAGAAAAGATGACAATATTCAAAACTGGAATGCTAAATCTCGAAATGCTAAATCTAAAAATAACTTGAAGTGTCTTCTAACTCTCAAATATCTTTAAGTAGCCTTGGACCCTACACGACTATCCAAACATGGGTGATCTCTGTCAAGAGACGGAAAATTAACTCTTCAAAATGTTTCTCTTCCTGCTATTCATACACACTTCTTACCCAACACATAAGCCCATGCTCACAGTCAGGATGAAATCATTTAAATAAAAAAAAAGACTCAAGAAAAAAAAATGTGTCAATGCATTCTTCAGTTAATTCTGAAGATCATTTTGGCTGCATGGTTACATAATATTTGCAGAATCTGTTAGAAATAGTTGTTCTTATCTTCTTAAGAAATAGGGTGTACACAGTGTACATAATTCTGGTTAAAAAAAAGATTCTGCCACTGACACATGCACTTAACAGTGACACTGAAGCAAAATGTGACACTAAGGGAGAAAGGAAATAACTTTCCACAGAGCTCTCACTACTGTGACACTACCGCCACCTACTGGCATCTTGGGAGAGTAGACTACAGTCACAGAGTTCTTGGTATTTCCCAGGGCAAGGCCTTTAAAGCAACTTACTGTAAACCAAAACTGGGCTTATCAAAAACAGCTACGACTTCAGCTTTACCCAAGTAAAATTTGGTTTCTAAAAAGAAAAATCTCTGCTACCTCTAAAAACTATTATATAATAGTTTTATAAGAATCTTGAGACATTCAAATGTCAAAAATATTCATATGTAAAAAATATTTAATTTTGAAAATAAATGCTTTTACTTATTCTGAAGAAGTGAACAAGGATAAAACAAATGTCCATCCCAAATAATTTTCATTTAAGCTCAGACAATGACTGTATTAAAAATAAAAACAAACAAACAAAAAAAAAACTTTTTCCCTGTTAAAGACCAAGTTAAAACACATCTTCCAAAAATTATTAATCTGAAATTACTGGAAAGTTCCTAAAATATCCTTAGATGAAAATATTTAAGCTTATACATTATACAGAGGATAACTGAGCGTTCCTCACTTACTGAAGCAAAGTGGTGCTTATATAGGTTTTGTTGATCACAATAGCCTTTTCAATAGAAGATATTCCTAGCTTGCACTTTAAAAATAAAAATGTAGAATTAAAACAGAAAACATACTCTCTGCAGCCAATTGGTTTTAGCTTCCAAACCAATTGTAACTGTAGATTCCAAAGACACAGACACACATGGGATGCGTGAGGAGGGTCCCTGAGAAGCTTCTGCCTGCCACTGTCAGAAATAGGACAGTGAGAGGGCCTGTCAGGCACGGGGGCCCAACAGCAGCAGGCGACGGGGTCTCCTGAAGCGGTACCTCCTCTCAGCCCACACCTCCCAATAAATACAGGCAGATAAACTAGCCATAGATTTTCTCCAGATTTTTTAAGTGATTAATATTTTTACTTTCTTGAGCACAATAAACACATGAAGATGGAGAAATGAACCATTGCCGTGGCTCATAATCAGGCCTGAAGCACTACAGAGCCAGGCAACCCAGGGACGCACTCTTCCCCTTCCCTCTTCCAGCAAAAGGAGGCATTCCATGTGAGACACAGTAATATTGTACCGAGTACAAAATAATCACTATGTTTGGGAAAGATTAATATCTAAAATTGTTTGTTTGGCTTCAATAAAAAAGAGCAATATTGCTAAATATGTAAGTATGACATTTTGAAGAATTTACCATATTGCATGGGTCTGGTAGCTATGCTTAAGGAAATTAAAAACCACTACAGTCAGCATATTTGATCCTTATTAAAGTTCTGTCTTGAACTATCACTCACATAAAACAAAAATAAACCAAGAAGAAATTTAAATAAAACCTATGGATTATAAGTGTTTGAAGATGAAAAAATGAACAATATTCTGGCTTTAAAAAATTGATTTAGCATG